GCACAAGTACACCGCTTTTGTAACGAAATACGGAGGACTATGTACAGAAGAACGAAGCGAAGAGAGGCCACATTAAAGAATAATTGACTGAAGGCCATGAAAAGAACATCCTCCTAAAAATATGGATTCCGAAGAAGAAATAAGAACCACAGATGACTGCCGCATGAAAGCCACCTGCATGAGGTTTCACAACAACCTCTACTTCTCGCAGGTTGAGGAAAACAGGAAGCTTGGCACACTGCCCCGGAACCCATTGCCGACGTCATCTGAGATGAAGGAGAGTGGGTGGTTAACATTTCAAGAACGGTAGATGCTCTGGCAAGGACAGCATAAACTATGTAAAGTTAGGGGGACGATCCTGTTGAATGCGCTTTCAAAACGATTTACAGAATACATCAGACTGGAAATCGAAAAACGCCAGAAACATGTAAGAGCTGTTCAACGATTGTTGTGTTCAAGAAAAGTTATGCTAAAGATGTCCGTGACTATCGATTTGTCACTGCTGTCATAGGTCTGCAAGGTCCGCAAGGTCTTTCTCTTAATAATCCTCAAGTGTATCCGGAGAAAAATGGAACCAATCTGTAGTAAAACACAAGCCGGTTTCTTAGCAATTTTTCACCGTAGACCACATCCATGTCGTGTAGTAATCAACAGAGTGCAGTAAATAACCATTTCCTTCCTGCTACACATTCGAAGATGAGTGCTATACTGACCGTCTTGAACGATGGCAGTATCAACTCTGTGTATATCAAGATGGATCGATCGATCTAGGAACCGAATACAGAAACCAGAATCATAAAATTGTTCGAAGAATTGTGTTGAATTAACATCAGTATTAGACTACGTATGGATGACATCATATCTGCCAAACTTTTCACGACGGCACTGAAATTTTTCTTTAACCGTCTGAACTAGAGCAGAGGTATTAACATCAACAGAGGAGTCGTCTATCGGATCTTTATAGACGACGTCATCATCTTCACAAAAGATACGGTAGAACTTCAAACAATAACTGTGCAGCTGTAGAAGGAGTCACACATCATTAGTCTGAAGACTGTTCCACGAGGGATTCTGAGAAAGTTCCTAGGTATATATGCATGAGCCACGTAACAGACTCCGATAAAAACATCAAAGGCAAGATCTGCAGAAAAAGGAATGTGGCATGGGAAAGTTTCAATCACATCAAAACACTGCTGTATAGATAACGAACTGACAATGTCCAGGAAGAACGAATTGTAAACTCCGCTGTCCTATTCCCCGCAATTAATGGCACAGAATGCTGGTCTACTAAAAGAGCTTGAGAAAAGAAACTCGTAGTAATGCAAAGAACGATGGAAAGAACAATAAGCTAATTCTTCCTTCGAAATAATGTTGAAAGTGCGATAGTTCAGTGTCGGACACGAATTTTGGATGTACTCGTTGTCGCCAATGTAGTTCCTCTGAATGACAACAAATGGATAACCCGAGTTATCAAATGGATCCCCCCCCTCGACAACCGATATCAACTCGGTCATCCAACAACACGTTAGGACGATGTTTGGTGAACAGTGGAAGTAAAGGGCACAACACGGAGAATAATGACCAAAACAAGTCAAATAAAAAAAATTTCTACAAAAAAACCCACTTACCAGTTCAGCAACTTCAGGGCTGATTTTTGAAGAAATGCTGACGAATCTTCGCACCGGGGTTATAACCTGTTCGTCGTAAAGGGCGACACTGCGAGGTTCCATTTTAATAGCTGAAGAAAGGAGATGATTTAAACAGAAAGGTAAATGTGACAATGTATCGCAAAAGAAGCACTTCAGTAAAACTTTTGCAAAACTTTGAAAAAGAAATTAGAAAAAATTATTTTTTGAGAGTTTAGCTTCGCCTAACCCTCATATATAGTCATCAAACCCAGACGAGAAAGACAAAGATTTATTATGGATTCATCAGAGACAAATATTAACGGTGTGATTTACGCTTTTCCGAACCCGCAGATGGCATACGCATATTCTACCTGTCTAACCTTTCGAAATGATGAGATGAAGTATTTAAATATACCTTAAAACTACTCCATCGTGATCAAAAATCGCTGCACAAAGATATGACAGGTCGATTCGAACGTATATTCATCATATGATTATAATATCATAATAAATGTATAATAATGAAATCGTAATATAAACTTTTCACTTTCTGTAACCTCTAAGGGAGGGGTTCGGACTGATGGTATTCGGTGATGAACCACGCCTGCCACAACACTTCGCACTGTCATAATGCATCAAGTTTTATGATCTTTTGGCACCGCTGATGATGGCTCGGGGAGTTGCGAATAACTGGGTCTGTCCGGCTTTCATCAAAGTCGTCTCTTCTAGCCATTGATGAACCACAAGGCAGCGGTTGCAGTGGCGATTTTCTTCTTCAAAGAATTTTCTTTTTCTTCTTTTCTTTCTTCAATCGCTTTTATCTCGTCATGAGACCTTCATTGGGTACTGCGACTTTTACTCTGATGATAAAGCTTATTGAGCTCAATCCCGATCACGCCTTGCTGGTCTCACTTCTGCCTGTTCGCGACTGCTTTCATCTAACCTAGAGATCTGGAGGCAGTTCCCTTATCAGCAACATGCGGAAGTAGCAGAGTCAGCAGCTAGGTCTGATGCTATACTGACAGCAGAAATCTTCGATCCTGCGATATTACTATTTCCACGTCTGAACAAAAAGTGTTCTGATCCGGTATCTGAATACCATGAACAATTATGTATAGATTACACTATAAACCATACTACGTATTAAACCTAGTATACAAGTACACTATAGAATATGCCGCACGCATTACACTTTTACAGCATATAATATGGTCTATGTACTGCAAACCAACAAGCTACATGCTGTACTATGTACTTCGTACTTCCGTTGCAAACAATCAACGTAGTATACTCTACGATCTCCATCATAGACTTTCATACCAGCTAAAATGGTATATATACAGGAATTCACATACAGTATACAAACATAAAATACATTACAGTATGCTTATGTTTTGAAATATATGGATTGCAGAATGTGACACAGTAATTAGCACGG